ATAACTATTTCCAAAAATATCTTAAACTTATGATGAAAAAATATTGAATTAATCTTCATTAATCATTTATAAATATTTAAAAACAATAAAGAAACCACTTATAAAAGATTATGAACTCAATCTCATTCTCTAAATAGTAAACCATAAACAATAGTTAGCAAATGACTAATTAAACGGGTGGGATCAGGATCATCTATCTCAGTGTGGAATGATCCATGACTTCTAACCACTCGCCCGAGACCAACCAATAGAAATCAACTATCTCTTTTTACTTCTCCAGATATTACAGTGGATTCTCTCATTGATACAGCTACTAGAACTTGGAATATGCCATTTATTAGGGCTCTTGTAGAACCGCAGGATGTAAAAATAATTGAGAGTATTCCTTTAGGCAGGACACAACTGGTGGATACGGATGGCTGGCATTTTACTAAAAATGGAAAATATATGGTTCAGTTGGGCTATCAGGTTGAAAGCGTCTATCCGGACAAAGGTCGACCGAGGGAGTTTTATGGACCTACAATGGACGCTTTGAAAGCTTTTTGTTGAAAACTGAGGTGTCCTCCTAAAATGAAGTACTTCTTGTGGCAATTATTATCGGGTTGCATTGCAGTTCGGAAAAACCTACAGGCAAAAGGAATTAAAGGAGATTTAGGATGTGACAGATGCGGTGCTGATGAGGAGACAATAAATCACATGTTCTTTGATTGCCCTCCAGCACGACAAGTTTGGGCTCTTTCGAAAATTCCTTTCAATCCAAATATTTTTCCTAAGAGCTCGTTGTTCTCGAATATGGATTTTTTATTCTGGAGGGTTTACCCAAAGATGGAGGATCACCAGTTCGCATGGATATTGTGGTATATTTGGAAAGCGCGGAATAGCAAAATTTTCAGTAATTTAGATATTGAACCGAAGGATACACTTACGCTCACAGAAACAGAATCGACTTTGTGGAAGGAGGCACATATAAAGCTAGAGCAGAGGATTGTTTCGCAACAGACTGAGGCCATTTTACCAGTATTTCCAGGAAGATGGTGTTTCATAGATGGTTCATGGAAAGAAAATGATCAATTCGACGGTCATGGGTGGTATAGTATATTGGAGGGATTTGAAGGGTTACGGGGTGCCCGTAATGTGAGAGCGAGTTTATCATCTCTCCATTCGGAGGTGGAGGCACTTATTTGGGCTATGGAGAGTATGCGAAACTTACGTCAAAATTGTGTTACATTTGTAACGGATTGTTCTCAATTGGTGAAGATGGTTTCGGAACCAGAAGAATGGCCAGTGTTTGCAAGTTATCTCCAGGATATCAAGACACCGAAGGAAATTTTTAGTAGCTCGAAGTTAATCCATGTACAAAGATCGATGAACTCGCATGCGGATAGCTTAGCAAGGAGAGCCAGGATACAACCGCATTTTGTTGTTTACATGGACACAGAGCTACCGGCTTGGTTCACATAGTCTACATGAGTCTGTCTGTTTGATGTCAAAAAAAAAAAATTAAATATTAAGTATTTCTGCTTGAGTGTATTTTAGAAAAATGATGTCCAGTTTATGGTATTTCAGGCAACTTCTCTTCAAACAGTTTATTTTATCCAATTAAAATTTAGAGAATTTCAATGTTACCACAGTCTTGGTACCAATAGAACTTTTTACATCTACCTTAAAACTAATCATAAAAAATTTCTTGAAATATTATAAGTTGATTACTATTTATCAAAAATACACTTCTAAGTGATTCCTTAGAAATTTCGTGATTCCTGTTTAAGGTTTTGTATTTAAAGGATGGAGTTGAATTTATAAATTTTTACAAAATTATTATTAAACATTTATAAATGATTTATGAGGGTTAGTTTAGTATTTTCATCATAAACTTAAAGTATTTAAATGGTTATCTTTTAAGGGTAAATTTAAAAATTGGTATCAAATTTGTGGTAAAACTAAACTCCTCTGATAATCATTTTTATACCTTAAATTTTTGATAAAACATTAAATTAACTCTTCAAATCATTTCTAAATGTTTAAAAATAATTATAAAAACACTTATATTTAAACTCAACTTACTATATAAATTGAGAAACTGTTAGAAATACCCCAAGTTAAGTATCACTTTTCAAAAATATCACCAATAAAAAAATATAAGAATATTTAGGATTAGACTTTAGTGATTATTGTTTAGGGGTAGTATCAACGGGTTGGGGTTGAGTTTGTAAATGTCCTATAAATATTTAAAGAATTAGTTTAGTATTATTTTATCAAAAATTTAAAGTATTTGTGAAAATAGTAATTCATTAATGGTAAATTTAAAAAATGGTATCAAACTTATGATAGAACTGAAAATTCTCCATATAAATACTAAACCGTAAACAATAATCACTAGGCCTCAAACTTAAATGTTAAGGTATTTTTAATTGGCGAAAAATACAATTTGTGTTTTGAAGATAACATATAATTTTGCAGTTTGAACAAAAAAACTCATTTTTCTGTGAAAATCAAATTTTGCGGTTTCAAAGAAAAAACTTAATTTTTTAAACTTTGGTAGAAAAAGGGATTGTGTGATTTTGCTGAGAAAACTTGATTTCTAATTTTTGTGAAAAGACTCAGTTTTTTAATTAAAATTATTAGGTAATATTTATTATAACTAATGTAATTAATTTCATATTTTTATTGAATGATATCTAAGTTTTTTGGTTTTGTGATGTAAACGTAATATCTAAACTCTATATTTTAGACATTTACATATCTAATTATTCTAAATATAAATGATTTTGTATCTTACAGCATCTACATGCTGAAGTAATGATGTCCAAACAAACAACATCTAAACCAAGTTAGAGTATAGTGGATGTCTTTATTTCTCTGAACCTCTTGAGTATTGCTTATGTCTTAATAACGTGGTCAAAACGATATTTGCATCAAACCTACAAACTAACGAGCACATGAAAGAGCGGATACCGAAAGGAGTCATCACGTCACAAAAACCTTAGAAAAATCTAGGCATGGGCGTTCGGCCCTTGTCGAATTTGGTTCAGTCGATTCGGATTTTCGGTACTATGTTCATAAGTCTTATTTGGGTTTTACTAATACGAGTCAAGTTTGGTTCGGTTCCTTTCAAATTTGGATCGTATCGGATTATAACCAATGTATAAATTCATTCAAAAATATTTTAAAAACTTTAGAAAATTACAAAAAAGTATTCAAATTATATAAATTATTCACAAAACTAACTATAACAAGTTAAACTACCTAAATTAACTATAAGTTATTCAAAATAGCAAATTAAATAAACTAAAAATCTCTAAAATACTCAAAAACATCTAAATTACCTTAACATATATAAAATAGTAACATATTTCACTAATTGCGGATATAGTCGGATCCAAATTTGGATTTCGGTTCGGTTAGGGTTGTATCTATATCCCAAACTACCAAGCTCTCAACTCCTATTCAAATATTCTTATATAGTGGTTTGGATTTAGTTTCGGTTTTTGCGATTCGGTTTAAAGTAGAGAATTCAGTTTGGGATAAAAAATCCCAGGCCTAGAAAAAACCTAAGAGTTCGACTCAATATCTTTAGAGAATTATCTAATTCAAACTACCAGTATTGAATATATATGATACTTGATTTGGATAAGATCCCTCACTCAACGATGACTCAATTTCTAATAATATCACATGCGTGGACATTAGAGAATGTATGGAAGAAAAACTCATTTTCTCTTTTTGGCACGTATTATGCATGTATGTAGTCATTTCTAGATAGTCCCTATACCTGTCCCGTGGATTAGCTTATTTTGAAAGAGCCTCTTCACCGTATGGCTATAACGAGCCCCGATAATGTTAATCCTATGTTACTTGTTAAAATCTGTTCATCCATTTCGAAGTTACTCGTACAGAGGATTTGAAATCCAATTTTAACAACTGTAAATCATTAATATTTTATATACTAATGACTATCAATCAATAAAAATATGAAATACTTTCTCTTTCATTTTAGATACGCTGATATATACTAATGACTATCAGTCAATAAAAATATGAAATACTTTCTCTTTCATTTTAGATACGCCGATAGAATATCAAAGTTTTTAAGATATTTATAATTTGATTCGTTTTGTTTGAATAATCAATTTCTGATCAGATTTGATTTTTAGCTATGTGATATTTGATGTCCAAGATATCAAGAAATTTCATATATTTAATAATGTACCTGTACAAATAAAAATAAATAAAAATCCAAATATAATATAGGATAATATTTATTACAAAAAGTTATATGTTTTTAAAATTCTAATAACTAATATAAATTAGAATAAAAATAAAAAATATTATAGATCTTACACAAAATATAATATTTATATATATAGTTCTTTAAATATATGTATAAAGAATATATAACGGTCGGATCAGATATTTATTTCTAAAAATATTAATATTTCTGATTTGTTTCATTTTTTAAGGGTGTTAAATTTTAGTATTTCTTTTTTCGTAAAATGTATATTCAGATTTTTCGATTCAAATCTAAATAGATAACAAATCGCATCAAAATTAAATCATATTTTATCTAGTCTTAGTTACATGATGTTTTACTCTAATGCTAAAGTAATAAAAAATACTTCTCATCAAGAATATTACTAAAATACAAATTCAAAATTAATTTATTAATTATAAATAAAAATATTATTGATTACATAGTTTTTGATGAAGTTAAAGTTATATATAATTGTGCAAATATATATATATATATATATATATATATATATATATATATATATCATGAAATATAAACTTATCTAAAACATCATGTATATTGAAATGGAGGTAGTAGAAAAATATCAAATCACACAATTCATGATACGTGTTAAGATTTAAATCTTTGGTTGGGTTATAAATTCAAAACCGTAAAAACAAAAGAAAAACGAAAAGAAGAGAAGGAAAATGATAAGAAACCGAGTTGGTCGGTCTTATGTGGGGCTGGCGTGAACTTAGAGAGAAAAAGAGGTTCAACAAAAAAGCTATATCACAAAACCAGTAGTTTAGTTAAAAAAAAAAAACAAAAAAATGAATTAAATAAATAAAAGAAAACTCTTCGTGTTGAAGAGAGTTCCCTATCTCCTCCGATCCATTGCCCACCATCTCCCCCCATCACATCTTCTCCCTTCCCCCTCTCTCTCTCTCATCACATTACTTTTCTTTTTAAAAAAACTTCTCTATGAGGAGAGGTAGAGTCTCCACCCCGGTCGCCGGACCCACCGTCATCGCCAATCACAACGCATCCATCAAGGAGACGCGCTTCAGAGGCGTGAGGAAGCGACCATGGGGTCGTTACGCAGCAGAGATCCGCGATCCCTACAAGAAAGCTCGCGTCTGGCTCGGTACTTTCGATTCCGCCGTAGACGCCGCACGCGCTTACGACGCCGCCGCTCGTAACCTCCGCGGTCCCAAGGCCAAAACCAATTTCCCCATCGACTCTCCTCCCCAGCAACAGAATCTCAACCAGATCGATCCGTTTATGGATCATCGGTTATACGCCGGAGCTTCCTCCCGTCCGACCAGCAGCAGCATGAGCAGCACCGTCGAATCCTCCAGCGGACAGAGAAGCTCCGTCGCGAAACCGGTGTCTACGACGGCGGCGAAGAGGTATCCCAGGACTCCGCCTGTGGTTCCGGAGGATTGTCACAGCGATTGCGGTTCGTCTTCGTCTGTTATCGATGACGGAGACGACGACATCGCGTCGTCAACACGCTGTCGGAATCCGCCGTTTAGATTCGATCTTAATTTTCCACCGTTGGATGATGTTAACGGTGTAGATGGTTATGATGATCTTCTCTGCACCGATCTACGTCTCTAATCCACAGATCCGTGATTGACTCAATCGAAAACAAAAATAATTTTTTTTTATAAAGTTTCTGTTTCGTTGATCTCATAAGCTTGTTAGCTGGTTCTGTTTCTTGTCTGATGATGAATCATATTGTAAGAGTATTGATGTATGATTATATTATTACAAATCCACAAGTTAAAGTGAACGATGATCTGTGTTTGTTTGTGTTCTGTTCTGTGAGAAAAAAAAGCAGATCTTGTTTTTTTTTTCTTCATATAATTTGTTTCTTAAGAAAGATCGACAACACCTCTTTGTAACATATAGTAACTGATGATTCTAAATAATCAAAAGCTGGAAACATTTTCTTTGATCTTCATCTTCATGAGATCTTCTGCATTTTTCACATTATACTATGCAAAAGAACAACGTTTACTTTGATTCCACTCAGTGTTTGATGGGTTTTGTTCGAAGATAAGATATTTCACATAGGTGGTTATGAAGATGTGGCTTCTTTACAATCATAATGTTTAAAGTTTACTCTTTCAGGTTAATTATGCTACAGGTAAAGATCATTAGGCTTGTTTTTAACTCTTTGGGTAAGGAATTTGAACCGATTGGCTGTATACTTAACTTTTTAGTATGTATATATATATATATGTATAGGTGTAACTTTTTGGAAAACATAGTTTTCGCTAGCCTATCAACAGTTTCATTCAACGAGGAACAAATTTAAAGGAGACAGAGATTAAGGATCTACTCAACACATCAATGTCATGGATAATCTATTGGGAAGTATTCACATACTTGTTTCCTGTGATTTGAGTAATCAAATTTTTAGAATCTAAGAAACATATCATATCCTGAATTCCATGAGAGATAACAGTTTTAATAGCTGCATTGAGAGCCAAATCTTATGTGATCAGCATTGATTCCATAATTTCGGCTATCCTGTGATTTGAGTAATCAAGTTTTTAGAATCTAAGAAACATATCATATCCTGAATTCCATGAGAGATAACAGTTTTAATAGCTGTCTTGAGAGCCAAATCTTCTGTGATCAGCATTGATTCCATAATGTCGTCTGTAGCCGTTCCTTTTAAGACGGTCGTACCGTTATAGTCTGTGCAAAGCCATCCCAGTCCGCCAGCACAAGAAGACGATTGCCATGCTGCATCGGAGTAACAGAGTATCACATTTGCCTATTGTTGAAGTTGACAAACATTTGGTATGCAATATTTAATCAAAGAAGAGGCTTTTTGTTCTTTCTTCATCATAGCATCATGCCATTCATTGGCACTGCCTACTGCTAAGGTTGACAAACACTTGGTGTGCAGTCTTCAATCGAAGAAGATGCTTTTTTTTCTTTCTTCATCGTAATATCCTGCAATTCCTTGGCACTTCTAATAGCTTTGAACAATACCTCTATTTTTGAGAATGACTTGTCTTCAAACATCACCTGGTTTTTAGTAGTCCACAACAGCCATAGGATCCATGTGTACAAGGGCAAACATAGTATTATCCGGGTGCAGTCTTGTAATAATTTTTCGATAGAAGTCACTATGGTGTTACTTGGGGCTAACATCGGTAGGGCTGATTTCCAGATTATTTTTAATTCGAATGGGCAGAGGAACAGAACATGTATCGTGATTCACGGGCTCCCACATCGTTTGTACTTTCTGTCTACTTGTTTTGTAGTTCCATAAGAAGTGTCTGAGATTTGGTGAGAATTAACATTCCACCACACTTTTTCCAGTTGAAATCATCATGATTTCCAGTCACATTAAGTTTGGCGAGAGCGTACCCGTCCTTGGTGGTAACCAAACCAATTTATCTTCCATATCAAAGGAGCTTGGAACAAGCTTCCTTATCTGACCCTCATACTGAGGGAGATGGTCCCTGATGATCTTCAAATATCATATTCGATTTTGGGAGAAAGAGATCACTAACCATCATGTTCTGCATTCCATGAGTGATGGGCTTATTGGCAGCTTTGTTGGGTTGTAGACAGCCAGTTATCGCTCCACACACGAATACTCCTGCCATCACCAATTATCCATCCCAAACCGTTTCTTAGAATTTCTCGGCCTGCAAGGATTCCTGCCCATCCGTGGGAGGCCGAGTTTGGAGCAGTGCATTCAAAGATACCATCATTGAGACAATATCTGTTGAGAAGTGTTCGGCCCAGTAGAGACAATGGGTTATTAAATAGACGCCATGTATGCTTTGTCAATAAGGTATCATTGAACACTTCAATCTCTTTGAAACCTAGACCCCCTGCTCCTTTTAGTAGAGTGAGTTTGTCCAAAGAAACCCAACACATTTTTTGCTGTTCCGGTTTCATGTCCCAGTAGAACCTAGTGAGAACCGATTGGATCTGTTTACAAAGCGACTTTGGAGAGCTAAGCATGATAGTGAATATGTCGGCATCGCTGCTAAGACCGTTTTCAATAGCACCATTTCTACTCTTTCTACTTAGAAAAAATGCAATAAAGAAAATATAAGCGGATATTTATAAAATGATAAAAATATTCAATGTTTTGCGTTATTAAATTGTTTAAGACGGCCTGAAAATAAGTAAAACAATAGATATCTCTATAATATTATTTGAGAAGTCACTTTCTTATGTGTCGCGTTCACATTAACTCTCACACTGGTTGATTACTATGATACCCTTAATAAATTTTAAAATATATTTAAATATTATTATTTCCTTTTAAAAATTTTCCAAATAACAATATAAAATAAAAAGGAAACATTTATAAAGTTTACAAATCTATTTAAAAACTCAAATACAAGTATATATAAATATGGTTTCATAAAAAAAGAAAGTTCACAAAATAGTAATATTTAATTTAAATATATTTTAAATAACATAAAATATACTTTTGAAGTAATAAAATACTTTATATCTATATATTATTAGATGAAAAAATATTTGTATATAATGTGATTCCATAAAAAATTCACACAACTAATCTTGATATTAGAAAAAGAAATATTTTTTTCTTTAAAAAAATAATTTTAAACAATAAATATATATATTTTCAAAGTAATTATTATTTTTGTATATATCTTTCTATTTTATTAGATGATTACATAATAATTAAGTAAGATAAACTAATGTATGTTTAATTGACAAAAACAAATTACAATTAATATTCTTGAAATATTTTATTTTATTTTTAGTATATTTATTTGACTATAATATCTTACAATTACAGCAAAAAAATATAAATTCTATTTTACTTATATAATATAATTTTCAATTTTACTGCATATTTTAAGAGATATTAAAAACAAAACTAAAAATAAATTTTAATAATAAACATTTTTTGATCAAATAACTACAATTATTTTAAAACATCATAACACTATATAATTTAACAAAGTATATATATTATATTTTAATAGTTAGATTTATATGTTTGCTTAATAATTCTTTGGATTTTTTATTTTCTGTTTTTATGTTTGTGGAACTTAATATAACCATAATCAAAATACTTAAGCAAATCAGAATCTTTATTTTAAAATTATTTAAAATAAATTTCTGTTTACCATCCAACCAATCTAAATATTGTAAATATTGATATGTGTTCATAAGCTTCCAAAAATTTATTAGTTACGCATGTATGTAATTTAGAATCAGACAATTTAGTTTCTATTTTTTTTCTTTCTAAGCATAAAAATCTTAAGTTATACATACTCTTACTAGATATACTTATATTTTTAAAATAACAACCGGCATAAATGCAAATAAGACGATTAATCAAAAATTTAATATATTGAGGATAAAAAAGATTATAGTTGAATTTAGAAAAATAGATAGAATCTAATATATCCAAAAGATAACTAAATCAACCGTAAAAACAATAAAACTGATGAAATATAACATACCTAAAATTATATATATAATTAAATTAATATAACATTATTAATACAAATTATACCTACAATATACCAAATTGATAACCAAACCGACTATTGATCCAAAAATAATTAAACTGACAATAATACATCCAAATTAAGTTATATGTATAATTATAATAATATAATATTTATTAATATAAATTATACATATAAATTGATTTAAAACTAAAATTAAATATAAATGAATTATTATAAAATTTTACTTTTATGAATATTCATATCCGTGCATGAGCACGGGAAAATCACCTAGTTAATAGATAGATAGTAATAAAATAAATCGTCCATCATAACTTGTTTTGGTTGCTTACACTTGTGAACGGGAAAGAAATTATCGTTGCAGCTAAAACATAATACCAAGCCGGGCTGCTTCTTCATATCATCCCATGTTAACTTTTGGAGGCTCTAGTTGTTGTCTCTCATTGTGGGAGAAGGAATTTGCAGGAATAGATTGGGGGTTAGTTATAGTGCTGAACGAGCTCAGAGTATGTCCTTGGATTGCTCCAGCGTTTCTCCTTTTGTAGTCTGGAGCCTTCTGACGTATGTGTGAAAGTGATTTGTCGAAGTTCTCGCTGTTAATTGGACCAAACCGTGTCCATTGTTATGTTTCGAATGTCTCCCATGGTACTAGTATAGTTTGATGCCACTAGCCTTGTAAATTTCCTGCCACCAATTGGTTGCCTCTGCTGATAAGTGATAAGAAGCAAAGTTCACTCTTTGTTCCACAGGCATCCCGTGATACGCAAAGTACTGTTTTGCCTTATCATCAACTCTGTAGGATCTCTGCCACTGAATTTTGGAAACTCCAGCTTAATGTGAGGTGTGTTGGTCCGTGTTAAGGCAAAGGGATTGACTAAAGCATCCCAAGGCCGGTTTCAAGGCCACTGAGTCTCTCCTTGTTGGTCATTGTTATCACGGTTTGGGCGAGATGGTGTTCGGTGATTAACAAGAAAAATAAAAAAATTCCTCTTGATGATTGTTGATTCAAGAAGAATACTGTCAACAAGAACAAAAGAACTAGCTTTTGATGGGTCCCTCTTCAAAACAAAAAAAAACCTTGTTGGTAGTTAAGACTAGCTTTTTTGTTTTGTTTTTCTTTTCAACTGGAATCCTCACAAACTGGAATATCGAAAAGTGGAGTTATCAACTTCTTATTTGAACAAGTAAAAAGCTAGCTGAAAGAAAACGTCATTCTTCTATCCTAAGTATCTCTTCGTCACAAACTTATTCCTCGTTAGACTATCTAATCACCACATCTCCTTATGTGTCTTTTTTTTTTTTACTGTTATATTCAGCAATGACTTCAGTTTGCTCTTCATGTAGCATCCTATCAATCACCGGAACTGAGACAGAGTAGCGTCTGCGCCAATGACTTTAAGAAGAGGCCAATCACCACCACACATGACGGGAGTTGGTGGCATT